GCCCACCAAGCACCAGCTGAAATATATTTGTGTAGTCAACAAAATTGATGGAACCAATGGAGTCCACTATATTAATGGTATTGGACAACATAAAAATGGTTGTCCTGCCTCATAGCTACCTCAGCATTGCAACATCAAATTGGATCACCTAGCCGACACCCTAAAATTACTGAATTAGAAAATTTTATTTTAACCTTAAACCCTCATCTGATGGTCTGTTTTTAAGTCATGCAATGTCAGCATTATACAAGCAAAACATACGACAATTCTTGAATATTTTCAAGCTGCTTATCAAGCTTTGAGATTAAGATAAATATGTTCGAAGAACGATACAAAACCAGGTATAACATTATTCTTGAACGCTTAGCCAGTAGGGTAAGAGAGCCCTTAAGAGACAGAGGGGTCAGGGCAGACGAAAGACTATAAAAACAGTGATGCCTTCCTGCCACGATTTGAACATGGGAGAGTAACGTTAATAGCAGCCATGTTTCTAACATTGTATATAATCATGTACATAAGAGCTAAAATTGCATCATATGTTACTTAACGTACTAAGAAATAGTTGCCACCATAACATGCACACATGTGCATGAGAATTGGATCAGATCTAATCAGGTTAATAATTCACTTTCATACACAGGAGAGATATAAAGAGAGAAACAACTAACTGGACGGCCTTGTTTTATGATTCCTGACTTAGCTACCGCAATAGTTTCCAAAGAACCCCCAAGAGCAGCCAAATGCTCCTCACCTACAGTGGTTATGACTGATGCAGCAAGTCCAGAGGGGGATATAATATTAGTTGCATCACGTGCACCTCCCAACCCGGCCTATCCAAAATGAAAAGAAATAAATGATATTATTATTTGTATCACACTAGCCATGTTTTGATTTCTTGTTATTGGCAATAGAAGTTATGACATCCACAACTCAAGCATGTTCTGGGGGGAGATACAAAATCAGAAGAATCAGCCAAGAGTTTTAGTAAAGAAGTTGTGCTGTCAAAATATCACGTGTAAGTAAATATAACCTCAATAACTGCAATGTCAACCTTCTCTTCAGCAAATAGGATGAATGCTATGGCAGTGAAAACCTAAAACACCACCATCATTAAGTCGAGTTAGTCAATTACTATATAAGTTGGTTTTGTATACCAAGGATCGAGCACCAATAACTGAAGTGAAGAACAGAGATAACATTCAACCAAAGCAAAATATTCACCAGGCCTATAACAGAACGTTAGAGAAGTGCAAGCATCAAAATGAAATTATGAACTCAGGGTGCAACAATGCCTATTTGCAAAAGCGTAACCAATAATGACGAATTAATCCAGAGATGAAAAATGACCAAATAAATTGAATATGCTGACTTCCACGCTATCAACTGATCAGACATTTTCTCATCAGCAGGCAGAAGAATAAATAATTTCCTAAAGTTAGAACATTAGTTTCTTGATCAAGTTTAGAATTTTATACAATTGAAACACCTCAAAATGACTTAAGCAACCATTTTCCTCACTCATTGCTTGGTCAAGATTCTGCTTGATCCTGCGAAAAAGACAATTCAGTATTTTCGCTGGAACAGGATCGCCAGATCTTCCAAGTAAAATGCGTTCCCTTATAGTCTGGATATGTGGGCTGCTTGAGAAAAATAAAGACTGTCGTTATTGATATACAGGTTGTAATGAAGGCACAGCTAAAGTTGAAAGTACAGGCAGCCGCAAATACTAAAATCCTCTGGAAATTATTATATGGGCACTCTACCTAGTATAACACCCAACAGAATAGCCTTCTGTCCTCAGAATATTAGAAATGAACGCAGCCGTTGATCCTTTTCCCTTGGTCCCGGCAATATGGACGGCCTACAATTGCAGTAAGTCGATAAATTGAACAGTCAGTCAATTCAAAAGGGTAGAAGATATGGGGTAAACGCGGCTGTAAATATCATACATTTAAAAGAAAAAGAAAAAAGAGGTTCTTTTTCACATCGAAGGTTCATAATTTCCATTAATAATGCATTCAATAGTTCTGCGGCTCGCTTTAGACTCGTTCAATTGGGCGAGATGAATCTTAGGGAATAAATATCAGTTTCATAGCATACAGTAAAGAACCCTTTGCTCTTACTGGTCCTAAATTATAAGATACCCGACATTTAACATTAAAAAACATACAGGGAGAACAGTTCAACCTTGAATTTAGACTGAGGGTTACCGAACCGCTCCATTAGTCTTCTCATTCTACCAAGATCGAACCCTTGGCAGGAATCCGTGCCTGCTCCTCTGGGCACCCCCCATTTCTCGTAGTTCTTCAGAGAGTCGAGATAATCCACGAACTCCTTCATTTCGGGACCTTCTGCGTGCGAAGACATGGTTTGTTTGGCCCCCACTTGCCTAGGGAATCTTGTGCATATGAAGGGAAAAAAAGTTCTACCTCGCAGAAGCACGGGTTTTGCAGAGGAGAGCGTGAGCATTATCAGGCTTGCTGATAGGAAGCGATCGCTGCAACTTCCCAAAAAAAAAAAAAAAAGACACCCATATATTATCACCAAGAAAAAAGGTCCAGATCCTACAGTTAAAAAAGTGCTCAAACGGACCTAAGCAAAGCAAAGCAAAGCGGACGATGACTGTGTAAAAAGGAACGAAGTCACAATACAAAAGTTTCCTCGCAAGCTCAATAGGACAAGTTGCACAAGCTAGAGAGCGTGCCAGGGCGCCTGCCACTAAGGGCACCTATGGAATCGTGGATGGAAAATTTTTTGCAACAAATTCCTCCAACCAGTTGGGGAATATGTCATCGCAACTCGCAAGGAAGGTAAATTCCAACCTGATGAAGCCAGTGGAAAATAACAGAAACTCCAACAATTAATTGCCTCTTTTGTTTTTTTTTTGACCAGCAAGGGTGCCTTCATTAAATTCATTAAAATCAAACGAAAACGGGAGGTTCCAACAGTATGGAAAAAGACAAAAACACACCGGCCAAAACACGTCAGCCAATCTCTTCTCTATTTGCATCAAAGTGCCTGTTTGGATGGCTCCCAAAACCATGGTTTTGGTGGAATGTCACGCAAACAGCATCAATTTTGGACCAATAATCTGAAACAATAGTTTGGGTTAAAACTATGGTTTTGGAATCTAAAACTATGGTTTCAGGAGAAGTGAATTCATTCTGCTTCTAGCTTAAATTGGAAAGTATAATTATGTCTGTCAGAGTAGATCTCAACAATAATATGACTTTAACATTCTTCAATTGTTTTTTTATAAACATATTTAATCTTATATCTTATAAATATATACACATATTAATTATTTATTAATTACATTATCTTATGTATTATTAATTATGTTGGTAAAAAATATATTATTAACAATTTTATTCCTTCAAATTAAAATATATCATAAAATCTATCTTTTATGTAATTATCATATTAACTTATGTTTTTTTAGTAATTTGTATATATAAAAAATGTTTCTGATAACAACTATCTAAACACTCTCACTTCTCAAAATCACTTTTTCACAAAATCTATTATCTCCAGAATCTATTCTTCAGAAACTATTCTTCAAATTATGATTTGGTTTCATTCAAACAGCCCGTAAGAATAGCTGGTACTCCCAATCTGGCTCAGCATCTGGGGCTCCGCGACGGAGGGTAAAAGCTAGAGGAGGTGGTTAGTTACATTGCCCTGCATGCGCCACGCATATTAGGCTCTGTTTGGATTCACAGCACCCAAAAAAAAAAACTTATTTTTAATCTGAATTTTCAAAAAAATCACATTAGATAATATGATTTATATTTAAATTAAATTTTATAAAAAAATTAGTTTGTAAAGTAAAAAAAATATTTGAATTATAATTAAATTAATAAATTTAGTTTGCAAAACGGCCATAATGAATATTACTTTTATTAAATAATAAAAAATGATTAAAATTATAAATTTACAAAATATAATAATTTTAAATTATTATAATAAAAAAATTTATATTTAATGAATAAAATATATTTAAATTAGAAACTACAGTAATGTGAAATTTTTTAACCAAATAATAATACATAATTAATTAAATAATATACTCTGCCTAATTTATGTAAATATAAAATAAAAATAAAATTAAAAATTAAAAATATTATAAAAATAGTTAAAAATTATTTTTACTTAAAAAAATTAAAAATAAATAACTAAAAAATAATTAGGAAGTACAAGAAATATAGAGAGATAGAGAAGTATAATGACAAAAATATAAGGATAAAATGTCTTTTAATTTTAAAAAGTTATTTTTACATAAGTCATAAATAAATTTTTGGTGTTTTTACAACCGTGCTTAAAAAAAAATTTTTGACTCATAAATCAAATTGATAAAAAAAAATTATGACAAACAACTCTCAAATTTATAAACTAACTTATCACACTTGTAAAAATTTTTTTTCCTATACAAAACCCCTTAGCAAACAGGCACCTAATGTTATTGATTTACTGAAAAACAGTAAATGACTGGTGAACCTACAGTTGGTACAGCAAGTGCTAGGCCTGCATTTGTTCCTCTCCATAGCCTAGCAAGTCCTTCCTGCAAAGCTACACTTGTATGTTATATAATTAAGTATAGAAGGGGCGTATTGAGGAAATTATTTTACATAAAGTCAACAATATTCAAATGTAAATTAGTTAGCAATACTACATAATAAATGCTTAATTGTATAATACTACATCGGCTCCTAATTATAAGATCTTATTTATAGATTATAAGTGAGATTTTATAATTCGGATCGGAGATAGTATTATTTAAAGAAAGCTTATGTTTCTCTTGCCCCTGAATGTTCTTAATGGGGGAAAAAATTGGGGGCAAAAAAGTTTACGGGAAAAAACATAAATTGGTTAGTAATCTGAATGTTCTTAATGGAGAAAAAAATTGGTGGCGGAAAAATTTAGGGGAAAAAAACATAAATTAGTCAGCAATCTGAATGCTCTTAATGGAGGAAACAATTGGTGTCCGAAAAGTTTAGGGGGAAAATGATAATAGAATTCTAGGCATATAAACGATAGACCGCTGAGGTGGCTGTAGTTTAGTGGTAAGAATTCCACGTTGTGGCCGTGGAGACCTGGGCTCGAATCCCAGCAGCCACATGAAATTTTAATTTTGGCCCTGATTATCTCATATTTTCAAAACAGTTGGCCATTGCTCAAACGGACCTTCTTATAATGGCTGGCTTTTTACTACTGTATCTTTTTAACTGAATTTGACTTTTAATTATAAAAAAAATCGGAGGTTCGGCCAGAAACAGTCAAAGAAGAGAATAATTTCGAAAGGGAAAAGGAAATAAAGGTCGCTGGAAAATGGGTTGACGTTCCAGAATCAATGGATTTGAACCAGGCAACAAGAAGCTCTCAAAATATTTAGGCCTTAGTATGTCGAAATAGTAAATTTTACTAAAATTTATTTATATGCATATGTCAAATAATATACGAATGAAATTTTCAGGAATGCCCTAAAGGTTTCCAAAATTCTTAAAAATATAATATTGATGTACAATGGCTTCCATTCCATATTGGAAGCCTGTAAATATTTTATTCAGCAAGTGCTTTTGGGAAGAGAACAAATGGCGTCACAAAATTTCTGCCGAAGCGGCAGCCTTACATGAAAGCTTAAAACCTAAAAAGTAAAACTTGGGTTAAATACCCTATTTCCTGTCATTCTTCTGCTCAAGAGAGAAGTGTCTAACCATTGTCGACAACGGATTAGCCTAGAATTCCGCAAAAACTTTCCCAGAAATCTCCAAGATTCTCAATCAGGTTAGGTGGAGTGATTGCCTCCGGAGGAAACCAAAAAAAAAAAGGATGCCAAAAAAGGAATCCGGTCTCATATTTATCAAGATGTTGCGTAGCGGTTATGCAGAACATACTTTACAACTTCATAAAACGAAACGACAATTCCCACGGAGGGCCCTGCTCGTCCAACTCGTGGACCAACACCTGTGAAGAGTCCCTTTAAGCCTCCTTCCCTGAAAACAAGGAAAGAAAACAACATCATTTAACAATCAGGGCACACGGGCATAAAAAAATTCAAACTATATCGGCGCCCTCATCAAGACAGACAATGTTCAGCATTTAAAACACAGCTCAAGGAACACAATATCAATTGACTGAAGAACTATATCAGATCAGTTCGAGTAACTTGCACGATCTTTTCATGGAGCTCTATGCTTAATAATAGCACACGCCATATCACGGGGGTAGACGTAATTTTCCATTTTATTGTATCATCTACAAACACCCTCCTCAACTTTTGAATGATTCATGCCCTTATATGATTACCCTTCTATGAGGTTTCAATTCAACACTAAAAAAAAATAATACTCCTCCAGTCCTAAATATAAAGAAGAAATTATTGGGAAACTGGTTATTAAGCTACAAAGCTGAAAAGCTTAATTGTTGTCTCTTGCAAGGATGGCATTGATTAAATCAGTAACTCATGGTTTGCCAACTGTCTTGTACGAGACTCCCACATCAAGACCTTACATTGGCAGATCTAACGTGGCATGACAAAACGGATTGGAACAAGGATGCTCTAGCCCAGTTCTACATAGAGCAGATTCAGCAAGAACTCGTAAGAACCCTAATGTATTATTGTAATTATTTTTAAATAGTAGTAGGAGCAACGGTCACTAACCGTTGGGAGAGTTATTTAAGTAGGATTAGTTTTGTAATTAGCCCTATAAATAGACATGACCAGGGTACCCATTGTACAGTTTTTGATTTGAGGATTATACAGTGCACTATTCAGTTTTCAAACCTGCCTTCTCTCTGTTTTCTCTCTGTTCTCTCTCTCTCTGATCATCCCTTCTCTAACTTTCTCTCCTAATTCCTATCTTTCTCCATCTTTCTCCTTCCCTGAACTCTCTTCTATTTCTCTTTTCTATTCCTGTCCTATCAGTGGTATTCGGAGCCAATCTTTCCTCACCATTATTTTCTGAATTCATTCTCGATGTATGGTACTTACCCGTGGCCAGGCGAGAATAATAGAAGAACGCTTGGCTTTAAACGAACAACGTCTGAGCACCGTCGACGAACTTCAAGAAACAGTCTTGGGTGTCACCACGCAGCTTCATAATCTTGTTCGCGATGTTAGAGAAGGCACACTCGTGATTCGCAACAACAATCACGAGCGACCCAAAGATCAAGGCAGCAAGGGAGCTCACAACGGTTACCAACGCCCAACCCAATTCACAAAAATTGAGTTCCCAAGGTTCAACGGATCGAACGTGCTCGCATGGATAGCACAATGCGACAGGTTCTTTGAATTCGACAAGACCCCTAAGCAGCCAAGGTAAAGATCGCGTCGATGGACGACTCAAGCTTCCAGTGGCACCTTGCGGTTGAGCGACAATGGCAGGGGAACCTACCGATATGGGAAGAGTACACCGGTCTGCTAAAGGATGTGTTCGGACCCTCGTGCGATAATCCCATGGCCGAATTCACTCATCTTCGCCCAGTGGGATCCTTAGCTGACCTTAACATGAAATTCGACTCGGTCTCGACAAAGTTGGACTTGTCATAGGCATATCTGGACGCGTACGTGTTCGCTCTCAAAGATGACATTGCTGGGCCCGTCCAAATGTTTAACCCTCGCACAATAAGAGAAGCTCAGCGACTGGCAAGAACGTAGGAGATAACCATTTCGAAACAGCACGGCAAGAATACATCTTCAAGGTCTTCATTGGACGTGTCCTCGCAAGGGGTATCTTCTGCTCCAAACACAATGACTCACCCCAAGAACTGTACAATAGGTACCCTGG